TATTGGAATAATTTTGATCCTGTTGGTAAAAAGCCATTGCGCTAAATCCCTAAGTTCCCCTTCAACTCTGTTGCAGCCCTAGGGAGGCCTGTTAAGTCACTGTTGAGAGATACTCTCATGCCCCTCTGGATTGTGAGCCTGTCTCTAAATCCCCAATGTTTTGCGGTCTCTAGGTGAATAAATACCATTTTTTCAGCAGAGTTGCAGAATACAGCAACAAAAAGGGAATGAAAATGATTGGAGAATAAAAGAGCAGAAATACTTAGTACTAGTAGCAATTCAGAGTAGTCCTTGGGCCCTGGTAGGCAAATAACTAGTGCCTATCTGACCTCCTGGGACTGTGACCACCAGTGCTGTGGGCCAGAGCTCCCCTGGAGTCATGCTTGCATGGCTGTTTGTGGGAAATGGAGTGTCCCATATCTGTTGTTAAATATTTTGACTAGGAGGGAAATTGATCAGTCTTCAAATTTGATAGACAAGGTCAGAGTTTTATAAAGTGGTTGCACCAAGCAGCAACAAAGTATGAGATTTCCCATTGCTCCACTTTCTTGCCTATACTTGGAATTACCAGACATAAAAATTTTTGATAATCTGTGGTTATGTAATGCTATGTAATTGTGTTTTTAATTTATATTTCTCTGATTATTAATGAGGATAAGCATCAGTGATGTACTGGAGCCAGCTCATACAGATTTTTGTTCTCTTATTCTACTAACTACTGAGAGATGTTTAAAAATTATTACTATGGATTTTTTTCATTTGTTATAGTTTTTTTCTTTTTGCTTTACATATTTTGAGGCTCAATATTAGTGCATCCAAGTGTTCTGTGTTATATGTGTTTTTAATGTTTAACAACATATTTTTTCCGTCTTTATCAGTATGTTTTCTTTATATCATTTCTTTTAATGCTCCCATAGTATTCCACTGACTCCTCCAGATTTTAATATTTTATTATTGGATATTTAAGTTGTTCTGTCATACTTTTTAAAAGTATAATTTATACTCTTTGCTTCCACTTTCTCACTACCCATATTGCATTTCTTAACTTGTCTGGTTTCCATCTCTATCTTTTAACTGAAACTTTTTTTGAAAGTTGTTTGTAGCCTCATTTTGAAAAAAATGACCTTTAAAAAATTCCTATCTAGCATTTAATTTTTTCTAGACTTTCTTACTGTATTTTTATGATTTCTTTCCTTTTAATCCAAACTTTAGATAGGAGTTTCCATCTGCTCTTGGATGTTTCTATTTTTATAGTATTCATGTTCACAAAACAGTTTTGTCTTCTTTCACAACTCAGACTCCTTTCTCATGTTACGGAAACGACAGGCCAGTCAAGAAACAAGCACCACTCGGAGGGTTGGAGTACTCAGATGTATTACGCCGGCGGGCTCAGAGGGGCTTCTGCTCCGAAGCTCTGAGCACCTCCAAGACGTGCACATGAGGTTTTATAGGGTAAAGTACAAGCTTGGGGTATTCGGCCAATAGGCATGGAACAGCTTTAGCAGCATTATCATCACAAAGGTGGAGGCAGGGAGTCAGCAAACCAACATTCCAAAGCCAGATATGTATCTTTGAAAACCCAGCTGGCTGGCAAAAAACATGAACAGCAAACCAACACTAATTAACCTAGATTTACAAGTTAGCCAGCAGAACTCAGATCAGTATTCTGATACTTAGATTTGTGAGTTATCTTGTTAGACCAGCTCGGCTTTTCCTTCACAGGCCAACTCAGATCACAAGCCCGTTTCTTCTAGGCCAATAACGACTGCAAGGGAGAATGTTCAAAGCTGCTTTTAGGCTTAGTTGAATCATCTGGGAGAAGAATCATATTGGGGAATCAGTCGGTATCACAATAAACCTGAATGGATGCTCCTTACTTATTCTCTGCTCTAGAGATACATTTAGTTAAAGAAAATTAATGACTTAAAGTCAAAATATCTCCCATGAATAGACATGTATAAATGTTAGCCCCTTCAACTTTTATGATTTTCCTGTTCCTTGTGTAAATTTTATGTATATATTGTTGACTGAAATAAATGCACAGCCTAAAAGTTGAGAGTTACGTTTTACGAGGACTCCAGCTGGGGTGACAGCCCCTCAGATGGCTCTGAGGGACTGCTCAGATGAGGCAGGGGAGGAGCTAGGATATATAGGAGCTTTACAACAAAGACCAGGTAGTCGGAACATTAAAAGGTTACTTGTTATCTAAAGAAAACCAGGCATCTCAAGTTAAAGAATTTAGCGCTTTTCTATGTATGGGAGGAAGCAAACATTTGGGCTCATTAAATTCATTCATTTGACAAGCACCTAGCTATTTAGGGCCAGTATCTTGTCCTTTATTATTCTGAGTCCCCTCAGAGTGCCCCATTGTGAGTGGCTGCAGAGGGGGGGCTACAGGCTTGTAGGGGGTGGCAGCAGCCGCTGATGACTTGATGGTTTCAGCATTCTTTGTTTACTGATACGAATTGCAGTACTTTTCCTTCACAACATCAATTACCACATGCTTCTCTTTGTTAGCCAGTAGGTTGAGTAGTGTGCTATGTCAACATTATTGGTTCAACTCCTGTGAATTAATTAGATTTTTTTCTGTTTCAGGGCTTTAAATCAAACTGTTAAATTGCTAATGTTTGTCTTTAAACATTACAAGGAGAATTGGGTGAGAAAATATTAGTGGATCAGTGTAAATATATTACTGCTAGTGAGAAAGAAGATGTGTCTGTTTTGATGGATATCACCTTACATAAATAAAGGGCTGCTTGGAATGTACTATGCTTTGCATTGCAAAGGGTATAGAATTACTTGGGATTGTTTGGTTGCAGTATCTCACTTAAGCTGACTTTTGGCCAGAGATTTATTTATAAATATAGAGGGATGTGTTATGGAGTCCCAAAGCAAAGAGGCAAATTGGCCTCAGGAAGGAATTGGGACTAGGTGTTAGACCTCCACCAGGACTGCTC